GTTCCCTTTCGTAGGTGGACTTAGCCAACTTCTTCGATGGCATCTTCTTACTCATGTACTCAATCGGTCTCAACTTTTTCCCATCCTGCTGAGCCAGCACTGCGCCAATGCCGTATTGGCTTGCGTCAGTGGTCACTATGAATGGCTTTTGCGGATCGGGAACCATGAGAACTTCATGATTCATGAGTGCATGCTTCAATCTCTTGAAAGCACCTTCGCACTCATCACTCCAGTCCCACGGGGGGTGAAGTCGAGTTAGATCAGTCAAAGGAGAGGCGACTGTAGAATAGTTCTTTACGAAGTTTCTATAGTAGCCGCACATTCCTAAGAATGATCTGACCTCAGTGACAGTCTGAGGCCGTGGCCAGTCTCGAATACTAGCCACCTTCGCATCTTCCGGCCTAATCCCCTCCGCGGATACTTCATGACCCAAGTATATTATCTTAGTGCAACCGAATTCGCACTTCTCTAAGTTGACCTTATACTTGTGCTGTCGCAGGAGTGAGAGAACTGTCTCTACATGCTTTGTGTGCTCCTCGGCAGACTTACCAAAGATCAGAATGTCGTCTAGATAGACTACGACAAACTTATCTAAACGGTCATGGAAGATCCGATTCATAGCGTGTTGGAATGTACCCGGCGCATTGCAAAGACCAAAAGGCATCACAACAAACTCATACAGACCATATCTAGTCTGAAAAGCTGTCTTGTGTTGGTCCTCATATCTTATTGCGATCTGATGATATCCAGATTTCAAGTCTATCTTCATATAGTACTTGCATCCCTGTACCCTATCCAATAGGTCGTCTATGCGAGGAAGAGGCTCTGCGTTTTTCACTGTGATGGCATTGAGGCCTCTATAGTCAATGCACATCCTCAAAGTACCCCCCTTCTTCGGTACGAATAGTACGGGTGATCTGTAAGGGGAAGTACTAGGCCGAATCCATCCCTTCTCTGTCAGCTACTTGAGTTGCTTCTGAAGTTCATCTAACTCGGCAGGGGCCATCCTATAGATCCTTCCCTTGGGGTCTTACTCCCTGGAATGATTTCTATAGCGTGGACTACTTCCCTATCAAGAACTCCTGTGGGCTCCTCGAACAGATCAGGGAACTTAGCAACGACGCGTTCTATCTCTGGGGGTGTTTTAACGGCCTCCCCCTTCTCAGAGACATAAACAAGGTACATACCCTCTCTTGGTTTTGCTTGTAATAATTGTAGAACGTTGATCCACACAAGCATCATATGTATTTACAATACTGCTGGCCTTGAACTTAGTCATTCTGACAGTTCGGCCATCGGGCAACTTCTGTTTGAGCACCTTCTTAACCCAGTCAAACTGGGGCTTAGCAATATCGAGGTAGTACATGCCTAGCAACATGTCAAATGGCAAGTCGTTACTAACCAAGAACGAGATTTTATGGTTAAGCTCACCTCCTCCATAGGAGAAGGTACAGACTACGTCCTTGAGGTAGTCTGTGACAATCATGCGCTCCTTGTTGGCCAAAGTAGATGCTACTGGTCTACTAAGGTGCCGTACCCGGTCCTGTAGGTGCAGCCTTTCCAAACAGTCGCGACTTATGTAATTTCGCGTGGAGCCTGTGTCTATGAAGGCACCACATTTGCGGACTTCTACATCCACTTCCACAACGAAATGTTCCCCTCTAGGACCCTTCTTTAGCGCCGCCCAAGACTCACGAGGGTCCTTGTTTGACCACTAGCCTTCTAAGTCTTCGAAGGCCTCAGACACATCTAACGTACAGAGCATAGTTTGGTCTAGATGCGTCTGCGGGGTAGCTAAGGAGTCATTAGCTTCGGCCTTGTCATGAAGTGAGGAGGGTATCATTCCCACTTCATCTTGAGTAGAAGCCGCTAT